GAGTTTGGCACTAGAAATTCATCCGGCTCAAATCAGTGCCGGCGCTTGGAATTCGGAAAAAAAACAACAAACTGGACATCCAGGGGCCAGAGTGAGAGCCAATTCCAGGTACCGAGACTACAGAGCCGCTGCGAGGATCTCACCCTTCCCTGAGGTGATGGAGCAGAGGCTTGGACCTCGGTTCCTCCTCCAGATTCATATTAACTCCTGAAATGGGACCCCAAATTATTCCTACTGGGGTGTATGGACCCTTGCTTCAGGGTACAGTGGACTCCTGCTAGGCCGCAGCAGTCTTATTTTAAAAGGTCTTTAGGTTTTGCCTAGTGTTACCGATGCTGATTGTACAGGAAAAATCAAGGTTATGCTTCAATCTACTCAAAACACTGTGGCACCTATTGGGTTCAGAGATAAAATTGACTACTTAAAGGAAAAACATTTTTAAGGCTCCTAGACGCAAGTATAGATGGCCTCCAGGTGTGGCAGCTGCAAGTCCATAGGGTGTGATTAGCATTTCCTGACTTAGAGGTGCTGAATTGCTGACCTGGAGAGATGCAGAATGGCCATTTGCTTGCAGTTTCACAAGGAACAAAGCCTCACAGAGAATAGAAAAAATTTTTAAAAATAAAAGGCTTTTATATTTTCCTTTTCAGGTGATAAATTTAAAAGTCTGTTTACATACCCAAGATAAAAAATTTGCCTTTAGTTTAAAACAAATTGTAATTTCTAAGGTTTATAATAAGGGAAATATTTTTAAAAGATTATTTAAAAACCCCATAATTTCCGTAAATAAAACTTTGTCCCTTGTCTCAAAATATATATATGTGTGTGTGTGTGTGTGTGTCACACACACACACACACACACACATATATATATCAGTGATTGATTTGGTCTTTTAGAGTTATAGTAAAAAAATTTTCCTCATTTTAGATTCATACAGCTAATAAAAGAGTCTTGTTTTAATTACAATTTTCTTCTTGACATCATAGACAGGATTTGTTACTGATTTAAAAGTTTTTTGGTTCTCTCGTGATTCCTAATGATGTTGACTGCTCATTTTACAGTCCAAAATTAAATTGGTATAAAAAAGCTTTAGTATTTTACAAATAAATATAAAAGTTTAAAATACAATCTAAGAGCAGTGCAATTTAAACAGTCATTTAATTTTGACATCGCATTTAAATAATGACAGGCCTAATGTTA